CCTGGTCTACAGAGTGAGTTCTAGGACAGCCAGAGCTAGAGTGAAACCTGTGTAAAACAAAAGATCTCCAGGCAGCAAGATGAAGAGCTCATGGAGAATGTGGGACACACGGCCCCAAGCAGGGTCAGTCTGGGCTACCTGGTACCTGTGATACAGCCCACACGCCCCCATGGACCTTTTGGGAAAGCAGGGTTATCTGTCCTGCTTTCGAGCAAGGAGACCTCTCAAGGTGGTGAAAGCTACAGCCCTGACCCATAAAAATCATCTGGAGACCAACCCCTCACCATAACAACCTCCCAAAAAACAAAAAAAACAAAACCAAAGCAAACACCCCCCCACACACACACACACGCACAACTGTTCTGTTCCTCTGGGCCGTTCTCAGGGTTGTTTTTGGTTTTTGTTTTTTTTTTAATTCGTGAGAAGGTGAATGGGAACAACTACTATTTTTAAAATCTCTCTCCCTAGGCCTAGGCACGTAGTTCAGTGGTAGGCCTATATGCATGAGTCACAGCATCTGACTCTAGGACCACAAAACGGACCACCCCCAATGTCCCTCCCTGGCATTTAAATATATATTCGAAGGTGCAAGGCAAGTTTAAAATATTAAGGACTTTGAGGCAGATATGGTGTCACACACCTATAACTCAGCCTTGGAAGACTGTGGTGGTTCCAATGAGATGTCCCCTTAAGTCTCAGGCATTTGAACCTCAGTCCCCAGTTGGTGGGCATTTGGGGAGGATTAGGAGGTATTGCCTTAGGGTAGTAAGTTTGTCACTGGGGGTGGGCTTTGAGGTTCCAAAAGCCTCATACCATTCTGAGTTAGCACTCTCTGCCTCCTGCTTGTGGTTTGAGATGTCAGCCCTCAGCCGGTGGTCCAGCCTCCTCTGTTTTGCCTTCACGGGTTCTAAACCTTTGGTTAGAGTCTTTCTTCTATAAGTTGGCCTGGTCAGGGTGTTTCATCAGAGCAATAGAAAAATCACTACCACAGAAGGCTGAGGTAGAAGGTTCACAAGCTCAAGGCCATTCTACATGGTGAAACACTGTCTCACAATCAAAGAAGCCCAGAAACTCGGGTTGGGGGGTGGGGTGGGGGTGGAGCCATGTTAGAGCCAGTAAGAGCAAGTACTAGGCTTGCAGTGGGTCCGAGTTCATTCTCCGCACTCACATCAGGCAGCTCACAACCACCTCTACTTCAGCTCCAGGGGATGCTAAATCCTTTCCTGGACTCAATGGGCACCTGCACTCACACTTGCACGCCTGCACACCCATGCACGCGCGCGTGCGCGCACGCACACACACACATACACACACACACGCATCCACAGACACTTAAAAATAAAACCTTTGAAAGAAACTGGAGAGCTCGCCAGCTGTTAACAGCACTTATTGCTCTTACAGAGGATCCAAGTTGCCGGGCAGTGGTGGCGCACGCCTTTAACCCCAGCACTCAGGAGGCAGAGGCAGGAGGATCTCTGTGAGTTGGAGGCCGGGCTGGACCGACAGCCTCCAAAACAATACAGAGAAACCCTGTCTTGTAAAACCAAAAAAAAAAAAAAAAAAAAAAAAACCAAACCAAAACAAAACAAAACAGAGGATCCAAGTTCAATTCCCAGAATCTACATGGTGACTTCCAATCGTATTACTCCAGTCCCAGGAAGCCTGAAGCCTTCTGACCTCCATGAGCACAGGACATGTAGCTAGTATGCATTCACATACACAGACGAGACACTCATACACATACAATAAAATAATTCTTAAAAACTATATAGTAAAAGAAAGAAAAGAGAGATGGGAAGATGGCTTAGCAGTTGAAATGGTTAAAAGCACTGGCTGGCCCGGCGTTGGTGGCATATGCCTTTAATCACAGCACTGAGCAGGCAGAGGCAGGCGGATCTCTAAGTTCAAGACCAGCCTAGTCTTCCGAGCGGGTTCCAGGACAGGCTCCAAAACAATACAGAGAAACCCTGTCTCAAAAACAAAACAAAACAAAAACAAAAATAAACAAAAACAAAAACAAAAAGCACTGACTGTTCTTCCAGAGGACCCAAGTTCAAGTCCCAGCACCCACAGGCAGTTGACAATCATCTGCAACTCCAGTTTTAGGAGTTCCAATCCTCTTGTGGCCTCTATGACTACCCAGTACACATGTGGTAATGGACACACATGCAGGCCAGACACCACACATAACATTTTAAACGACAGAGAGACAGAGACAGAGACAGAGACAGAGACAGAGACAGAGACAGAGACAGAGACAGAGACAGAGACAGAGACAGAGGGAAGATTGATGGGCAGGGCAGAACCCTGCATTTCCTAGATGTTAATGTAAGTTCCAGTGCAGTGAGACCTGCCGTGAGGTTTGCAGAGCTCATTACACGGATTCTGTAGGCTGTCTGCCCGGTGCAGACATCAGAGGGACGGGTCAGTAGGAAACCTGTGTGGAGTCTGAGGGACTTCCCAGCTCACTCGTTCGGAAACTTCTCCTTGTGCAAGCAAGCCCCTACCCTTCAGACCTCCCTGGGGGAGAGTTCGGACCTGCTGAATGCCACCCACCCCTTGAGACGCACTCAGTATCAAGGCCTCAAGGCAGAGGGATCTGGGATGGCCAATCGGGAGGGAAGCCTGAAATGCTTCTGCCCATTTTACCACTGAATGGCATTTCTGGACGCTGGTGATTCTGGCACACTAGGTCCTACCTGGCTTCCCTTGTCTACTCCAGGGTCTCTGCCCAGCCACTGATGACAGAGACTAACACCACCTTCCTGTTTGTGGCCCGGCAGATGGCTGCTCTGTCCTCTACATTCACAAGCACACGTCACTTCTTCTTAAGACGTCGCTGTCTTGTCCCTACAGATGTCCCCAGCCTCTGGTGGCACTGCACCGCTGTTCACTCTGCAGCTGGCATCTCGCCCTCACCAAAACCTGAGCTGTTCCTGTGGACCTGGGGTGGACAGTACAGGAGGGCGGTCCTGTGGAGTTTGTCACCCCATCTTTTGTAACCCTGACAACGAAGCCCCCTCCACTGGTCTATCCTATACTTATCATTATCGACATAATGAAGACTTTGTTTCCCCTCCCTCCGTCACTCCCTAGGCTCTACATGAAGTTCTCCCGATGAACTCCCAGTTGAGTTCAATTCCAGGAAAAAATGTGTTCTGAAAGTTCATTTGTATGCTTTCTGTTGTCTCCAATCCAAAACTATGTAATCTAGTGCATTTTTGTTTGTTCCCAAGCTGCCAGAAAACGGGAAGCCAAGTTCGTTGTCCAAGTGCTGTAATCTGCTCCATTCAGGCCATTCAAAACGTCCCTCCTCTTCTGCGTTCTCCTGCTGAGCATCTTTGGGTTTGGTTTTAGTTTAAGTAACCTCATCCTGTGCTCCAAACCAGCACCCTCGCCTACCTACCTCTTGACCTCCAGACTCCATCAACCCTCCTGCCTTACAACTGCCATTCGACCAGGCTGCAAAGGTCTTACTGGCCTCAAGGTCAGTGCGAGTGCGTACACACACACACACACACACACACACACACACACACACACACACCGGGAGGGGGGTGTTGGAGAGAGAGGTGGGGGTTCTGACTCCACGCTTCAGCCACACTGGATTCTCCCCCATGCTGCCTCTCTCCTCCCTCAGTGACTTTTCCTATGCTGTTCCCTCTGTCCCAATCTTCCCTGCACTTTCTCTCTCGGTGAAGTGATTCCCAGGGCTCACCACAAGCATCCCCTTAGAACCCGGAACCCTCTGGGTTCTCCTGGCTCTGTAGCATGCAGCATTAATAGCCAGGTAAGACCAGAACGGTAATTTCTGGAAGGAAGGAAGAGGCTGTCTTAATCACTGTGTCCCCACTGACCACCACACAGAGCCATCTAGATGACTGAAGTGACGTCCAGGCTGGGTGCAAATCTTCCAGAATGAGCGTCCACACATAGCACTCTGCCAGTGTCTTCACTACCCTACCTCACTCACAAAGAGCCTCTGAGGAAGGGCCACATAACTCGGCAGGCAAAGGTGCTTGCTACCAAGCCCGACGTCCGTAAGTTCCACACTCAGCACCCACGAGGTGAAAAGGCAGAACTGAACTGGGCGTTGGTGGCGAACGCCTTTAATCCCAGCACTCAGGAGGCAGAGGCAGGTGGATCTCTGTGAGTTTGAGGTCAGCCTGGTCTACAGAGCGAGTTCCAGGACAGGTTCCAAAACATACAGAGAAACCCTGTCTCAAAAAACCAAAAAAAAAAAAAAAAAAGGAAAAGAAAAAAATGGCAGAACTGATTCCTACAAATTGCCTTTTGACCCACACACATGCCTGACAGCACATACACAATAAATAAAAATATAATAAAATTACTTTTAAAGTCTCGGAGCCAGAGACATAGTTAAGTGGGTAGGGGGCTGACCTCAGGGAGCCCTAGGTTTGGTCCCTAGCATCTCACAAAAGCTTTGTGCAACACTCCTATAATTTCAGTGTTTGGGAGGTAGACTCAGGAGCCAGACACGGCTCATCAGTTAAGAGCACTGGCTGTTCTTGCAGAGGACCTGGGTTTGATTCCTAGCACCCACATGGTCGCTCACAACTGCCTGTAACTCCAGTCCCAGGGAATGGGCACCATATGCACACGGTGCACAGACATACATTCAGGCAAACACTCATAAACATAAATTAAATCTTTTTTAAAAAGTAATTTAAAAGTTCGAGGTCTGTCTAAGCTACTTCAGACCCTATCTCAAAAAAGAAAAGGGGGGGGTGAGGCCAGCCTCGGTCACATCCTGAGACCCTGTCTCAAATAAACTACAGTCTGTTTCTGTTTGCCCTCCACTTCCTATCAAAATCTCCACTTCCCTCCTCCGCGGGCCATCCTCCGAACAAGTCTATTCCACTCCTCATGGGTTTGATTCTGAAGGAGAAAGGCTACAGTAACCACAGCAGGTGCAAGTGTTTCATAACAAATTGCTGTAAAGTGCCTGGTAAAACACTATTACCACACCCCACAATTACCTGTCATTTAGGGAGCTGAAGTCACAACCCCCAAAGCCATATGGTCCCTGGGCCAGAAAGAAGTCAGCCTGCTTCTTCCTCAGCAGATTGGTGGCATCAGGGTCCCCGCACTTCTCTAGCTCAAACTAGGGCTAAGGAGGGCACACAGCAGCCCCCCAGCTTCCCGCCCCTGCCCCTCACTACTCCAGGATTCTAGGCGCTAGGCTCCCTCTGTCTCAGCGGTCGAACTCCGTATCTCAGTGCCCCTCCCACACAAGATTACGTGCTGTGTTGTTAAGAGACTCACCCGGGCTCCATCTGCTCCCAACTCCATCGGGGGGCGGGGGGGGGGGGAGCAAGCTTCACGGTTCCCCACTCTGCAGCACTGCACGCCCTGAGTGCAGCCGTCTGGACTCGCCCACCCCGGCGCACAGACGCCCCCTCTCTCACACGCGCGCACTCGCCCTCGGGCGTCCCGGAGCTCCGGCGCCGCGCAGGGCTGGGGCTCTGCCCAGTTTCTGCAACTTTCCCCGGCCCCCGAAGTCAGCCCGGCCCTGGAAAGAGATCCGGATCGTCGCCCGCCCGCCCGCGAGCGCGCGCACGCGCGCGCAGCCCCAGGGCCGGGCTGAAGGGTCCCCAGCGTCGCCTGCGGGGGAGCCCCGGCTCGCGCAAGCACCGTTTCCTCGCCTTCCCCGCGCGTACCCTCCCGGGTTTCCCCCGAGCTCGCCCCGCACCCCGGGCGCCCCCCTCTTACCTCCCCGCAGGCGGCGGCGGCTCCGCGGGTTCCGGGGCGCATCATCTGGCGGACGCCCGCGGCGGCGGCGGCGGGGGCCTGGGGCGCCATGGCCCGCAGCCCTCCGCGCCTTTGTCCGCGCGGCCTCCCCCGGCCGCCGCGAGCCCTGGGGAGGCAGGGGGGAGGGGGTGGTCCCCCCGCCGCCGCGCGCCCTCGATCGCGCGCTCCCGTCCGGCGGCCGCGCCCGCGCGCCCCCCACTCCCTCCGCCTCGGGCTGCGCCGCCGCGGCCGTCTGCGGTGACGCGCGCCCCCTCCTCCCGATCCGTCCCGCGCGGGCTCCAGTGAGCTAATCCGCAGCTGGCGGGCGCCCGGCCGGTTGCCACGGCAACCGCTCTCCCAGGGCCCCGCCGCCGAGGGGGAGCCACGGTAAACAGGACCTTCTGCCGCACTCGCCCCCGAGCCTGCCGGTGGTGGGGGAGACGGTGGCTTAACCTTTTCTGTGCTGCACGCTCTCCTCCTCGCGGGGCCTCTTCCACCCCCCCCCGAACCGGGGTCCATTCTCCAGATGCGCTTAGCCAGGGGTCGAACATCAGACCTAGACTAACTGCCCTGGCCCTGCTAGCGTGGAGCTTGGCTGCCGGCCGCCTCTGGCAAAATTGGGCTCCGCGTTTGCCCCCCAGGCAACCGACAGTCACGGGACCGGCCTTCGAGACCCACCGGCCCACGGTTCCCCGCAAGCAACTCACAGTCATGGGACAGGCTGTTAGGACCCACGGGTCCTTATTTTACACCCCCCCCCCAGCAGCTCGAGGTCACATTTGGAGCAGGGGGGCGGTGAGGATCCACGGGTCCGCCTCCCTACAGAGGGGTACAAGAAAGGGTTCAAAGCCCGCCAGGAGGCAGGCAGGCTGGTCGGGAAGGGCGATCTGCTGCCCGCTGGTCCTGCGCGCACAGGGCACGATCCACACGCGCGTGCGGGGGGTTTTGATGGCAGGATCGCTAAAAAGGAGGCCACTTGGAAACGCCGTGGGGTTTATCAGCAGCACAGGCTGGGGACACTCGAGGGAAGTCCTCTAAGCCTCGGAGGCCCTGGGGAGTTGAATCCGTTGTAAGAAGTGGAGAAACGGACGGGAGAGGCAGTCTGGGAAGAGGGAAGAGCGTGATTCTGGGGGAGTCGCACCGTGGTATCTGGGGAACCTTTAAGAAGTAAGAGGGAATACGGTTAGCGGAGTAGGCCTGAAGGGATTCGAGAGGTCCGGGCAGAATTTCAATGTGCTGAAGGCAATGGGGTCCAAGCAGAGGAATGCCAAATGATAAGTTCTCAGGCTTGACAGTGACAATTTGTCCTGGGGCGGGGGAGTGGGGGCGGGAAGGGCGGTAGGTGCCAGCCAATCTCCACACTGGAAAAATGTCATTCTTGTCTGTAGCTTAGAGATGTCCAAAAGAGTTGACCTAAGTTTCTGGAGATAGCCTAAAGGCTTAAAGCTTAGGTAGGGTATGTGGGAGGCGGGGGAGGGGTGGGGTGAGAGGGGAAGGGGGCGGTCCAGACCCAGACAACTTCACAAAGTGGGTTCTTAGAAGAATGGTGCTGCAGATAACGAGGAAGGGCCTGCCAGGCGCGCCTGGAACCCCAACACAGGGGTGGGGGACAGACTCAGATACCAGAGAACTGGGACTTACTTAAAGTCGCAGGAGGAGAAGCTGCATCTCCTTATGGCTGAGGGGTTTGCGCGTTGCCTAAGATCTTTGAGGCCCTTTCTAAATTCCTCATGCCACACCCGTTTCAGAGAAGCTCTGTAGACTTTCAGGACAGACACTTGGCAAGTGCGAGCATCTGTTTTTACGTTCAAGCCATTGTTTTGTTTGCAACCTTCCAAGTTCTCACTCTCTAAATAAAGATCAAAGGCTCGGCTGCTTGAGGGTTAATTACTCCCAGGGCCACGGGGTATCCTGCCGCAGCTAACTGGCAAAGTTCAACGGGAACTGAGCCAACAGCCCAGCTGGCTGCCTCCCCCAGCCCAAAGCACAAAAGAACCTAGGAGCCTTTGAGTATGTGGCTTCCACATCCTAGGTGGTCATGACAAGGCCTGGGCTGACGAGTCAGGCCTTTGACAACTCCTAGGCCACAATTTTATCGGGAAATACTAACTCGTCTTAGGGAACACACCCCTGCTCTGACCCCTGGGCCAGACTTGGATGAATGCCTTCCTATCCCGGCCTCCCGGCTTCTGTGGTTCCCACTGCTGGGTCGGTAGCTCTGTCACCATGACCCAGATCCACTCATGTCCTCTCCCCACTTTCTCTGTGGGGCCTTGTGTCTGCTGGTGTCCAGTTTTCCAAGCTGATGGTACTTTTGGTCCCACCCTAACCCGGGTGAGCTCAAAGTACCCACCCTTCCCAAGATCTGCTGGGGCTGCTCCATACGTCCCTTAACTCTCCCTGTGGGTCCTCAGCTTCTCTCCAAACGAGACCTAAAGAAGGCAGAAAGTCAGCTTTCTCTATCTGCAGGAGGGTGGCTTCAGCAACTCCTGGGATAACAAAATGTTTGGATTTTCAAGTTCATCGTAAAAATAGTTTTGAATTTGCATATATCCTACATGAATTCTTCCGTTAATAATAACTATTAATTCTATATAATCCAACGTACTAGTAATTATAAGTAATACATACATATATATTGAATTACTTTCTTTCTTTTCGGAGGGGCATTGTTGAGACAGGATTTCTCTCTGTGTAGCCCTGGCTGTCCTGGAACTTGCTCTGTAGACCAGGCTACCCTTGAACTCACAGAGATCGGCCTGCCTCTGCCTCCCAAGTGCTGGGATTCAAGGCGTGCGCCACCACCTCCTAGCTGTATTGAACTATTTTCAATGGCTGTTAGACTCTATTAGTGTGGCTTGTCCCCCCTTTCTAAAAATGTTTTGTGTGTGGGTGTTTTGCCTGTGTGTGTGTGTGTGTGTGTGTGTGTGTGTACCACGTGTGTGTCTGTTGGCAGCAGAGGTCAGAAAAGGCCTTCGGATCAGGATCCTGGAACAGGAGTTACAGATGGCTGTGCAGTGCGCCACTCTGTGCATGCTGGGAATTGAACTGGGATCCTCTGTAGAGCAGCCAGTGCCCTTAACTGCTGAGCCATCTCCCCAGCCCTGGTTTTGCTTGTTTTGATCCTGTGTCTCCTATTCCAGGCTGGCCTCTAATTTTCCCTGTAGCCGAGAACTCCTGACCTGTTGACACTCCACACTAAGTGCTAGGATTATAGGTGTGACTTTAGATTCCAATGTTAAGGGGATGATGACAAGAAAAAGAGACTATAGTGCCTTGCGTGGTGGTGTCACCTCTAATCCCAGCACCCCCAAGAGACTGAGGTAGGAGGATCATGAGTTCGATGCCAGCCTGAGCAACACTATAGAAGTCTCCCAAGAACCCCTAGCATACACACTCAGACTTTAGGGCCCACAGATGTGGAGGGGCAGATATGGAGGGCTGGCTGTGATCTGGCTCAATCTGGGAACCATAAGGAGGGGACAGAGCAGACTTGTTGTGTGCCTTTAATTCCACACTCTCCATACAGCACAGGCACAGCCTCGGACCACTCCAGAACGTCTTTCCCTCCTCTTCCTTCAGGGTCTGGTTGAAGAACACAGGCTCGAGATTGGACAGTCAGATCCGGCTCTGGAACAGGTAGCTTGGCCTCTGAGTCCCATATCTTCTAGGGTAAGGTGGAAATAGAACCAGCTGTAACCACCTTGTATTTGGTGAGGAGGAAGTCAGATAATAGAGACAAGGGTTCTCTGTGTGTGTGTGTGTGTGTGTGAGAGAGAGAGAGAGAGAGAGAGAGAGACAGAGAGAGACAGAGATCAGGAGGAGGGCTTGAGGAAAGTATGTGTGTGTGTGTGTGTGTGCCTGTGTGTGTGTGTGTGTGTGTGTGAGAGAGAGAGAGAGAGAGAGAGAGAGAGAGAGAGAGAGAGAGAGAGAGAGAGAGAGAGAGAGAGATCGGGAGGAGGAGTGTGGAGTGTGTGTGGGTATTCCAAAGGCTAGAGGAGGGTGTGGTGTCAGATGGCCCCCTCCATCACTCTTCACATTTTCCCTTTGAGGCAGGGTCTCTCCTTGAACCCGGAGCTCATATTTTGTTCTTGTTTTTGGCTAGGGTAGCTGTCCAACAGACTCCAATGATCCTCATGTCTCTGCTTCCCCCAAACAGGACAGGATGAACAGCGGGTGTGAAAGAACACGCCCACCTTTTTCGTGGGTGCTAACATCCAAACTCAGGTCCTCATGGCTGCTCTTCAAGTCCTCTCAAAAATTGAGCTGTCTCTCTGTCTCTGTCTGTCTGTCTGTCTCTCTGTCTGTCTCTCTGTCTGTGTGTGTGTGTGTGTGCTTTCTCTTCTCTGCATGAATACAGGGCGTGTCAGGCTCAAGCTAGAGAATCAGGCAGTTTTTTTTCTTCTCTCCCATCAGAACCTTCTAGCCAAGGGTGGCAAGCGACTAGACAGGGAGAACTCCGTGGTTAGTTCCCATGAGAAGCTGGATATCACCCAAGGAACAAACCTCTGGACATCACCCTCACACCTTCCCGTTTCTAGCAACAATCCTTTTGGATGCTAATTTTTATCCTGAGCAACTTCTCTGTTCCAGCCACTGTTCCCTGTCGTGTCATCACATGTCTTACTGGAGAGCACCCGGGCCTTTCTGTGCACCTGGGAGCGCGGCTCTGCCAGCCAACACCGCCTCCTTTTCAAGATCTCTTGATCAGCATCCAACCCGTGGTTTTGCTACGGCTCCCCCTAGTGGAAGGTACAGTCCTCGCAGCGGCTGAGCCCTGGTTTCCTCCCTGGTTTCACTTGGGATCTTTGCAGGATCTTTGGCCGAACTGACACTCGCCTGCCAGAGAACAAGTAAAAAACATGTACGCGGAGTCAATAATGGACAAGAGATTTGGTTAGCTGTTCTGCTGAGAGCTGGTTCGGGGAGAAGAAACATTGTCCCCACTAGATCAAAGGATGAGGAGGGAAAAGTCTTTGACACACCCTTGATCATGGCTCCTCCCATCCGGAGACCACGTGTACCCAGGAGCCTGTGGAAACACCCAGGAGAGCCCTTGTCTAGTCTTCCTTGGGCCCTGCTCCTTTCCTCCTTAGGAGGTCAGCTCCTCAGCCCTGTCCAATTCCCAGTGCTGGGCTGCAGTCAGAGGAAAAAGATGTATGTGGAAAATTAATTTACTCAAAATTTTGGCTAGAACAGGGGATTCTTTTCTTTCCTTCTTTCTTTTTTTCTTTTTTCAAGACAGGGTTTCTCTGTGTAACAGCCTTGGTTGTCCTGGAACCCAATGTGTAGACCAGGTTGGCCTTGAACTCACGGATCCACCTGTCTCTGCCTCCCGAGTGCTGGGATTAAAGGCACGCTTCACTACCATGTGGCCCCGTAACGCTTTAGGTTCATGGTTTCTTTCGAGTTCACAGTTCTGGATAAACCGAGGTGTGTGTGGCTGGAAGGCAGCACGTCTGTGTGTCAGGCTGTGGCTTGCACACTCTTGTATGATGTCCGGTTTTGCTCCTTTTGGAGATCCAGTTGAGCACTGAGAACAAGAATGTTGTGGTTTGGGTCCGTGTGGTAGCGCATGCCCTTAGTCCCAGAGACAGGTGGATCTGTGATTTCAAGGCCGACCTGGCCTACATATCTAGTCCCGGGACAGACGTCAGCGCTGCCTAACAGAGAGATCCTGTTTTGACTTCCCTGCCCCGACTCGTCCCCACCCGGAGGTGGTGGTAGAGAGGAGGCCTTGGGCCTCTGAGAAAAGTGGACAAATCTGTGAGCCAGTGCCAGTATAGCACGTCAGGTCCACGGTGAGCCCAGGACACGCAAGATGTCAGGCTAGCTCTCAGGCCTTTTAAAACTTGTGTATGTCCTTCTGAGTTTGGGGTACAAGACTCTCTACCTTGTTTCTGGACATCTTCTCTGCTTGAGCCTTCATATTTAGGAGGAAGAGGGAGGCAGGAATCCTCAGGGAAGAGTTTAATAACACAAGGACTCGAGTTGGCACTGAACTCAGAGGGCAAGCCCGACCAGCTCGTCCTCCCCCCACCCCAGGTAAAACTCACCCGGCAGCCTGACCTCAGCTCTTAGACGGCTCAGTGATCGTGTGTCACTGTGTTCCCCAGAGGTCACACCTGGCTGGGGAGAGAGCATTTCTTCTGGAAAACCCTCCTATCTGACGACTTCCTACATTGCTCAGGTCACAGATCCAATCAAAATAAAAAGGGTTGGTTAGCATCAAGTGCGAACTGCCGAGCGGGCATCTCGACCCTCGGGTGAATCAGACCTTCCCTCTTCTTAGGGCCCCTGGTCCTAGGGACCTCCAGCTGCCTGCATCTGCAGCCTCCTCGGGAAGCGCTACACAGCTGCCTTTCTCACTCAATTCTGCTCTTTCCTTCAGTAGGTGTCAGGTGAGTGCCCACAGAGCTTGCCGGGAAGGCAGGTCCCGAACTCACTTCTCATTTAGTGGAAGCGACGATCAGCCAGAGGTCAGCTGCTTTGCCGAGGGCAATGCCATCACTGCTCGAACCTCATGGCTACTGGTCAGTTGTTGGGTTTTCTGTTGTTGTTGGGTTTTGTTTTTGTTTTTAACATTGTGTATTAATGTGTCCATGTACATGCCTGCAGGCACCTATGGAGGCCAAAAGGGGCTGTTAGGGTTACAGGCAGTTGGAAGACATCACACACATGGGTGCTGGGAACTTGCCTTGGGTTCTCTGAAAGAGCAGCAAGTGCTCTTAAGCACTGAGCCATGTATCCGGCTTTTGTTTTGTCTTCGAGACCAGGTATCACTCTGTAGCCCAGGCTGGCCCGAAACTCACAGCCATTCTCTTGCGTCAGCCTCCTGAGTACTGGAATGCAGGCACAAGTCCCCAAGTTCAGCCCGGTGAGGCTCTCAGTACAGATAGTCACAGACCTCCAGGTCTACTGGGAGTAGCTCCTTTGAGCTGGAGGGATCTCAGACATAGGTGCACCCATACTTCTCAGATGGAGCAGAAGGGACCTCCTCACAGGGTTAGCACAAGTTCAGGACCTGGGAAGGGCCAGCAGGGTCCTTGAGCAACATCAGAAGGTAGGACTGGAGCAGGAGACATTCTCACGAGAAGGACTAGAAGGAGCAGAACAGAGAAAGAGAGCACACTGAGCCAGCCTTCTCTAGGGAGGGATTTGAAGGCGACACTGCAGGGCAGGGCAAGGTTGACAATGGCTTTCTCCTCCTCTCTTGAGTGCTGAGATCTTTTTCCTGTGTATATGGGTATATGGGGGTGGCTGGAAATGTATATAAATGCATATCTAAATGATGATATATATTTAATGTACACATTTATTAATATAGTATATAACATACACATATATTTAATATAAACCTAAAGCCTCACACACACCAAGCAAGTGCTCTGGTCACCTACAGCTCCATCCCACGGCCAGAGTCTTTACACCAAGTTCCAGCTTCCTTAGGGGCCAACTGCAGGCCAGGTGTATCTCATAGGACTTGGAGTGGGGTCAAGGGCTGACCGTCTCAAACGTTTCTTTGCTAGATAATCACCTTGACCTTGTGGAGAAAAGAAGAGATGGAAAAAGACAAAGTCTAGTTTCTCGTCAGCCATTTTTGAGCATGCTGCCAGTATGCTGCTTTGTTAATGTGGCCCAAAGACACCTGTAGGACCAGGGTTGTTTCTGACATTGTGTGGAGAGGGGTTAGAGATGCAGTTAAATGTATCCTCGAGTTATAGGACCCCTCCCCGACACACCCACACACCCACGCACGCACGCACTCACTCACTCACACAGAGCAGAGAATCATCCCGCCCCAGAATGTATAGATACGCATGCAGTCAAAATGCCCACATAGATAAAGAGAACAAACCTCCTCCTCCTTCCCCAGGCCACTGGAGGCGCCCTGCCCCACATCTTCCAAGCAAACATATTCCACAGGAGATGCTAAAATGATAGGTTCCTGTGCAAAGAGACATCTAGATAGGTCTGGAACCCTAGGGGAAGCTGGGCCGCATTGCAAAGCGAGTACTGCCACCTAGTGGAGGTAGACTGAACCACGCCAGCAGGGACACTACCGAGAACAGGATAGCTCTTTGCTCTTGAGAAGAATCTGGAAATCAAAGGAGGTAACCTAAACGAGGACAAATGGGCTGTTCCCTCACCATTGCCTGTAGGAAGGAAGCTAGCCGCTGGGCGTTGTTGAGGGCGGTGGTAAAGGAAGAGGTGTCGTTCTAGTTTCATTTCTGTTTCTGTGACAAGACATCCAGACCACAATTTAGGGGAGGAATGGGTTATTTTGGTTTATAAATTTGCTTATTTTTTAAAATTTGAAACAGAGTCTCACTATGTAGCTCTGGCTGTCCTGAAACTCACTATGTAGATCAGGCTGACCCTGAACACACAGAGATCCATCTACTGCTGCTTCCCAACTGTTGGGGTTAAAGGCATGCACCACCGTTCCTGACCATCTTGGTTCCAAGTTACCACCCATCATTTGAACAGATGTCAAGGCAGAAACTCAGTCACATCACATGAACTTGCTCTCATCTGGCTTCCACAGTTCAAGACCCCCTGCCTGGGGAACAGGGCCACCCACACAATGGGCTGGGTCTTCCTTCATCAATTAGCAATCAAGACAGCCCACCACAGACATGACTGCGGGCCGCCTGCCCTAGGCAATCTTTCACTGCTTTCTTTCTAAGTGATTCTAGGTTGAAGAGAGCTGACATTTAAAAGCAAACATCACAGCTATGTGTGGGAACACCAGACCTTGAGCAGAGACCCACTTCCCCTTCTGCCTGGGAGTAGGCAGCTGTAAGACAATGTTTAGTAAAAACATGTTTACTAAAAACGATACAATAAGTTCCTGGGAAAGGCCTTCCCACGAAAACCGCCCTGACCTCGACCTTGTCCAAAGACTAATCGCACCTTAAAAACCCACACACATCCACCTCTGGGTCAGAGCAGAACCAGCCAGGGTAGAGGAGAGAGCAGAAGCTTCTCTGGTGGGAGCTTTTCTTAGGAGGTTTTCTTGAACCTTTTTGGAGCCTGTTTAAAGTTCTCTTTATATCGTTGAACGAGTCTCTGTGTTGTCAATCCCCGACACCCTCCGCACGTTCTCGGACACAGGCCGCGCAGCAGACGTGACAGCTATGCAAAAGAAGAGATAGAAGATTCCCATAGTTAGAGGTGGTGGCTGGCATGAGGCCTTGAACAAGCACTTGGGAGGCTGAGGAAGAAGGGTTGACTCAGGTTCAAGGCCGTCATGGCTCCGTAGTGAGATCCAGACCAGCCTGGGTTATGGAGTAACACCTTATCTCAAAATAATAGTGACATTGATAATACTGCTGAGATCTTCCAAACTGCATCTCCCATGCCTGCTGTATAACTGGAGAAACGGAAATACTTCTGCTTTTATTTAGATGATAAAAATGGCGATGTTTGCTAATTAGATGTGGGACTAAGCATACATACTTCTTGCTTTTTTGTTTGTTTGTTTTGTGAGACAGGGTTTCTCTGTAGCTTTGGAGCCTGTCCTGGGACTTTGTAGACCAGGCTGACTTTGAAATCATAGAGGTCCACCTGCCTGTTTCTTTTTGAAACTATTATTTTATGTGTGTGAGTGTGTCACTTGCAGAGGTCAGTAGAGGATTTTGGATCCCCCTGGAACTGGAGTTACAGACAGTTGTGAGCGGCCATGCCAGTGCTGGGGGCGGAGCTCATGGTCTTAACTGCTGAATTTTCTCTCCAGCACCCCCTTGCCCCTTTTTGAGACAGGGTTTTTACCATGTAGCCCTGGCTGGCCTGGAGCTCCCTATGAATATCAGGCTGACCTTGAATCTAACTCCTGCCTGCCTCTAACTCCTGACTGCTGGGCTCCTATGCCCAGCCTCTTTTTTTTTTAATTTTTATTCTAAGATTTAGGTGGTTGCTAGGCATTGGTGGCGAACGCCTTTAATCCCAGCACTCGGGAGGCAGAGGCAGGCAGATCTCGGTGAGTTTGAGGTCAGCCTGGTCTACAGAACAAGTTCCAGGACAGCCTCCAAAACAATACAGAAAAATCCTGCCTCGAAAAACCAAAAATAAATAAACAAATATAAATAAATAAATAAAAGAGTAGGTGGTGCGTGTGTGTGTGTGTGTGTGTGTGTGTGTGTGTGTGTGTGTATGCGCGCGCGCTAGCCTTCAGAAGCCAGAAGAGGGCGTTAGATTCCCTGGAGTTGGAATTACAGGGTTTTGAGAGTTGTTAGACGTGGGTATTGGGAACTGAATTCAGGCCCTCTGAAAGAGTAACACACACTTTTAACTGAGCAATCGCTCCACTCCCCCTTCTCCCCCCACCCATGCCAAGTCCAGGGCTGTCTGACCTGCCTCTGGTTAGTCAAGATTAAACAATCACATCAAAAGTCTTTCCTACTTTGGAGCTTTCCTTATTTGGCCTCTCTCCCAAGACCCTTATTTCAAAGTAGCTTGGTCCTGCGGTACCACCTGCTGCTTCTCACTGCTTCCGTGGCCCTTGCAACAATTTCGTTTTCTGTCACATTTATCTTACTCGTGAGGGACACGACTTAAATGAATAGTGAGGCCCTTCCACCATGTGGGTTCCACGGATCGAACCCAGTGGTCAGGCTGGACAGCAGGCACCGTTAACCACCGAGACATCTCACAGGGACGCGTTCCCGTATAGGCTCCCCCTGTTCTCCCAGGAATCAGCCGGGGGACAATAAGGACCAATGTGTCCACTACCCAGAGTCCACAGTAATACCTAACTGAATAAATATTATTACGACCCAATAAATATTGGACTCGGCTCAAGAACTACCGATCGGGCTCAGTAAGTATAAGCTAAAATGTAAGCCATCCCCCAGGGTCTAAAAGCACCACCGCTAGCCTGGGGTTCAAGAACCTGGGACCCGCGCCAGCGGCTGAAAAGCTCGCAGGGGTGCGGTTTGACGTTTCTAGGGTTTAAACTACGAAGTTCCGAAAAGGAGAGGTCGAAAGGGAAAAGGGGGTCACGGGAGGGTGTGCGCTTCTGTGTTTTGCGCTAGATCCCTGCAGGGACTCCGTGTGTCCCTTTGCCCTGGCTCTCGTCGCGGTCCCTTTAAGGAGCGCGTCCTGGGCGGAGCGGGCGGACCCGGGTCCCGGAAGCGGCGGGGGCGGCGGGCCTCTAGGCGGAGCGCTCTCCGGGACCGGGGCTCCCTGCTCCGTGCTGGTGCCCGGAGCAGCTGGGTGTGTGTTCCCCGCCGCGTCCCGGGCGCCCGGACCCCCGGGAGCCTGGAGCGTGCGTCCACCTTCTCCGAGGCCCCGCCGTCCGCTGGAGGCCGCGGGTCCGCATCTCTCCACCCCCGGCGCTCGGTGGCGATCTGGTGCGGGACAGCCCCGCGCGTGCTGACCCCGCTTCACCCCTCCCGGGTCCCCGGCTCAGGTCGCCGTCCGCCCCGGGTCTGGCCTGGCTTAGGCGGCGGCCCTGGAGGGAGGGGGCAGCCCGAGCTAGCCTCGCCTCATCCCGGAGCATCGCCACGAATGGCTTCTCCTTAAGCAGAGAGCAAGCAGCCCAGGGAGGATGGTGACCCTCTGGCGTTTGTCCGTCCGGGTCTGCTTGTCACACTTGAGGTGCTTTGAGCTCAGGAAGGAACGTAGCCTTTCCGGACCCCTGAGATGCTCTCGCAGTGCCAGACTGTGTTGGGTTCTGCTGGGTACTTTGCCCAAATTCGTCTCAGCCCGTGGGGATGTTGGAGAGGGGCCGACGCCTGGCAGCTCGTGCCGGCCAAAGGCCCACCCGAGTGACCTGGCTGAAAACGGACTGGTGGAAGTGGCCCAGGCGGGGCCTCTGGGCCGAGTGTTGCTGGGTCTCCGCCTAGGGCTCCGCGCTGGCGTTCTCTTGGCTAAATTCTTCCCCCTGCTCATCTTATACCCGCTCACCTACCTGGCTCCTGGCCTCTCCACCCTCTGGTTCCGCCTACTTTTGAAAGCCACAGAAACCTCAGGCCCAACATACATCAAGTTGGGTCAGTGGGCCAGCACCCGGCGCGATCTCTTTTCAGAGGCTTTCTGTGCCCAGTTCTCCAAACTGCATGTCCAGGTGACCCCCCACCCTTGGGCCCACACGGAATGCTTACTCCAGCAGGCGTTTGGGGAGGGTTGGGGCAGCTTCCTCTTTTTTGATACCCAGGAACCCGTGGGCTCAGGTTGTGTGGCCCAAGTGTACAAGGCATTCGCCAGCACTGCCCTGCTGGAGAGGGACAGAGCCCGGAGACTTGGGGGACCCTGTGTCCCACAGCTGTCCCCAGGAACCCCGGCAGTCGGGATGCAGAGGGAGCCCTTTTCGGAGTGGAAGCCTTTGGAAAACCTTGCTGACGAAGCATTTCTAGAAAAGCTGCTTCTCCCTAACGCTGACCTTGCTCCGTCACAAGTGGGCACATTTCAGGTTCCCGGCCACCTACCTAAGTCAGATCACCTCATCGCAGTGGCAGTGAAAGTGAGTGCTCTCGAAACCCCGGTCCTGTGGGCCCCAGCGCAACCCCGGTCCCGTGTGCCCCATCGTTGATCAACCTGCCTTGGATGCCTTTGATGAGCTATCCTGGTATAAAACATGAGATGGAATTCATTCATATTACACACACACACACCCCTTATACACGTGGACTACAGGTTATTTCTTGCAATATTTTTAGTGCAACTTTGCTTTGGCTTCAACCCATCTCCTGAGATTAGGTTTGGAACTTTTCGCTTGTGTTAGGTGAGTCCTTAAAAAGTTTCAGAGTTGGAAGCATTTCCAGTTTTGGGTTTTGGATTAGGGCTGCTCACTCAACTTTATTCTTGTTAGCTCAGCTGATACCTGTTCAATGCTGTGGTAGTAAAGACTGGACCTAGGGTGGGATCAAATTCGGTTCACACATGCTAGGCCACTGAGCCGTATTGTGAGCCTTCATTCTTCACACTTGCTAGGCCACTGAGCCGTATTGTGAGCCTTCGTTCCTGTTCTCTGGAGACAAGGCCTTGCCAAGTTAGTTTCCCCAGACAGGTCTTGAACCTGTGATTCGATTCTTCCCTCCCGGGTAGCACAAGGGATCACAGGTGCTACTCAAGTCCCCCCTCCCCCCTCTGTAGAGTCTTACTATGTAGCCCCCTTGGTAGTCATGGATCTCGCTGTGGTAGACTGCAAAGATCTGCCTGCCTCTGCCTCCTGTGCGCTGGGATTCAAGGTGTGTTCCTCCACAACAGGCTCTGGTTTCATTTCTTGAATTCAGGGAGTGGTGGCGTGAACAGTCTGAGGGGGGGGGGAACTACTTGGATTTTTGCTACTTCTGGGGAAGAGGGGCCACCACCCAAAGAGCATCATGGGTATTGGGTTACTTTGCTTTGAGGAGAAGCACTCTGGTTCTCTGGAGGGTGGGAGCCAGTGCTGGCTAGGTAAAATGTTTTTTCTGATCCCCTGTCTTGTCCGTGGTTCTTTCTGGCAGGTGTTACACCCTGGCCTGCTCACTCAGGTGTACATGGATTTACTGCTGATGAAGATTGGCAGCCAAGCCCTGGGGCTTTTACCAGGCGTCAAATGGCTTAGCTTGCCCGAGATTGTGAAAGAGTTTGAGAAGCTCATGATCCAACAGGTGACTCCTTCCCTCAGCTGTGAGTGGCACCTACCATAGTTCTTGCCATTAGTAGTTGCTTACGGACAGGTAAATGGGTAGGTTGTTTCCCAGTACCTCATGCGGGACATGATCTGTTAGTCAGGGTGGGTAATGCTAGCCGAGGAGACAGAACGGCCCAACCCACCAGTTTCACACGGCGAGGGAAGAGGAGGAGGGGCCTCTCCTTTGGAGTGTTTTAGCTCCCTTTACACCGCCATTACAACTGAGGAACCAGAGCCTGTGCTGCCTGTCACCACGGGGGCAAAAAGTGAACCTTGGCGTTTTTTGAGTTTACACTTATTTATTCTTGTGTGGGTGTGTGGAAGATGGGTAAGGCACTGCATCCCGTGGCATGTGTGCGTAAGTCAGAGGACGCTCCTGAGGAATCAGTTCTCCCCCTCCACAGAGTGGGTCCTTGAGACTGGGATTCCCATAGCACCAAGTGTGTTTGCCCGCTGAGCCATTCCGCTGGTCCAGAGTTGACTCTTTGAATTATGCTTTGTGTAGAAAGTCTGATTTGAGAGGGCAATAGGTTAGCATCCTTTAACGACAGACCTGCCTGACGTGTTTTCCCCAGTTGTCAGGCTTTTAGGCGGGCTGGGAGTGGGGAAAGGAAGCTCCTTCTTGCCCCTCGGGTCAGTCCCTTGGCTGTAGTTTTGAGGCTCATGCCTCTCTGGTGTCTGTCACTTGCCCTCTTCCCCATTCTCTGGGTATGCAAGCTCGGGCGGTTCTAGAAACAGCATCTATGTAGTGTCCACAGTTACCAACCTCATGCTTCCCCGGGAGCATCTGAGCAGAGGTTGGGAGCACAGCGCCTTACAGCAAGTAGGTGACATGGTGCACCTGTTACGCTGTGACTAACTGGATGTAGAGATTCCTTTTCGCAATTTACGATACAGGTATGTCTTGTGATACAGAACAAAAATGCCCTTATCCATCCCTCTTGGCCCCTGTGACCATCTCCAACATAGTCAATGTGGAACAGAGCTGACATGGGGGATACAAGAGATTTTTATGGGCCAGTCAGGACGTGGGAAACATTTCTTTCAGCCTGTCAACCAGAACTCCATGGAATTCGGAGAGCACTTAGGAAACACAAGTCTCTCTTTGTGCCTCAGGGCAAAATGAAACTAAAGGCATTAACTCTGTCACCAGCAGAGGCTGACCTCTAGGGCTGGAAGATTTATTGTCTTTGTCTTACTTTGTTTTTAGAGCTAATGAGTAGACATAGACCTCTCCCTGGTGGAGACCCCTTGGGGGCATTCATATAAGTAGCCAGACTTGGTAAACTTATGTTGAAGGAGCCAGAGTCTTCAAGTGGGCACCTGCCCTGGCTCCGTCCATACTGGGTGGCTCAGGTATGGGGGGGGTTCAGGAGCTCTGTACCAAGACTTCAGTTATATCTGCTGGTTGAAGATTTTTAAGTCCCAGACGCTCATTTTGATGTTTGGAAAGTATTTGGGTACCTGTGGTGGTGGCTCAGGCCACTCAGGAGGTGGAGACAGGTGGATGTCTGTAAATTCAAGTCCAGATGAATCCAAATGAGTTCCAGGTGGTGAGGTCCTATTTCAAAAAAGCAAAAATGGACAATAAAAAAGTTACTTGGGCTATTGGGATAATTAGAGCAACGGTGAATTTTACCAATAGCTCGGAAGAGGAAGTCTGGGGTCAAGAGAGATTCTGGCTCCTTGATGTCTTCCCATGGTGTAAGGGGCTAGGGTCCTAGGCCTCTTGTGTAAAGACGATATAGAGTTGCACTCTCAGGACCTAATCACTCGCAAGTCCTACTTGGTTATATATACTATTGTTGGAGGCTAGGATTTCAAATAGGAATGTGGGGGGGGGGGACTGAGAGGTGTGTGTGGAGGGGAGGTATCCATTCAGACCAGGGTAGAGAGCTTGGCTTTCTATCCTGGAGTATTGCAAGTTTGACGAAAGGGCAATTAAAACCGAGAAAATAGCCTCCAGTCCAAGCGTGTCTCCTCGTCTTCATTCTTGACTTGGCCTCCTTTCTGAGCTTCCGCTCCCATTAACAGCCTGACAGACGTCAGAGCCTGACAGACGTCAGGGTCCCGTCTCTTGGAACTCACCTCTTGGAACTCACGTCCCCGTATTTCACCCAAACAGGCCCACCTGGACGTCATTCTAAAGAGCAGAGGTTTCAGGGCCGCAGAGATGGCTCAGTGGTTAAGAGTACTTGCTGCTCTTGGTGAGGTCCCACAGGCAGCCTGTGTAACTCCAGCTCCAAGGGACTCCGATAGCCTCCTTTGACCTGTGTGGGCAACAGGCGCGTGTGTGGTGTACATACATATATGCACACAAAAACACACGTATAAAATAAATGGCCTCGAGTTCACAGAGATCTGCCCGTCTCTGCCTCCCCAAGTGCTGGGACTAAAAGGTGTGCGCCACCTGACACACATTCACACGACACGGATATGGTCAAACAGATCAGGAGAAAAGCTGGGAAGTCTATTAAAATAGGAATGCGGTCGGGCATTCAGCTGTGTCCGTGGCTCCAGTGGGCTGGAGGGAAGAATCCTTGTGTGGAAGAGACTGTAGCACCTTGATCCTAGTGGAAGGAACAGCCTAGTCCGGCACTGGGGCACTAAAAAGAGCTATGAGGTCAGACGGGCATCTATTGGCTGCTGGGAAGGGGGCCCAACTCCTACCAGGGGGTCTGGTGTCTGCCTTCGGGGAGTTCATGTGGACCATGGATGTTTCCGCCTCCAGCTGAGCGTCTTCTCTGAGCTCCTGGTGGAGCCAGGGAGAGAAGGGGAATCTGCAGACCTGGGGTCCCGGAGGGCTCCCCGTGTCCACACTGACTCCTTCCTCTCCATCCCCGCAGATAGACCTGCGTTATGAAGCTCGGAATCTGGAACACTTTCAGCACAACTTCGAGAACATCACGTCTGTGAGATTCCCCACCCCGCTGCACCCCCTGGTCGCTCGGGACATACTGGTGGAAACATATGAAGTAAGAACCTGGTCCCCCTTGTCACTCGTAACTGGCCATCTCCACACGGGCTTCATGCTGGGGGGGACGATATGGTTCTTGTCTGTAAAACTGGGAGAGGGCTGAGAGGGGTCGGGGGCTTGTCCAGCGTGTGCAAGGCCCTGGGTCCTTTCCCGGGCACTGGAAAAAAAAAATAAACAACCTACTATACACATGAACTCTGGGAAAAGCCGGGCGTGGGGCGGGGGTGGGGTGGGGGATGGGCGGGAGAGGCGCGAGCTGGTCCGGAGAGCTGCAGGTAGTTTAAAGACTTGTTTAGAATTGAAAACCTACTTGGCTGTCTTATTAGCTGGCAAGCCCGTGGCACTGTCCCAGGAGCAAGTGACACATTGAATGAAAACACACGTGACACAGAGGACGTGCTTGGCAAGCATTTGCCTTAGCTGTCCCCTAGACCTGTCTCATTAGGACGTGGTAATGACTCTAAGGACTTATTTCCTAAGCTGTGTGTAACTCTGAGCCTGTTCTTAGACTTATGCTCCATGTCAGCGGCTTGCTTGACTGAACCAAGTGTTGATTTTTCGCTGGTTGCTCGTTCTTCCGGCTGCCCTTTTCCCTTTTCCGGGTGGAGCGCCTGCTCGTGTCTCTGTTGGATGGTCCTTTTGTTTTGCTTTGTTTGGGGACAGTCTCACACATTCCAGACTGGCCTCAAACTTTCTTCGCAGCCAGCGATGACCTGAAACTCCTGCCTGTTCTTCCCGCCTCTGCCTCCCAGGGCTGGGACTACAGGCTGGCACCCCATGCCTGGCTCTGGCCCATGTCTGCCCCGTCTTTGCCCAGGGCCCCTGGAATCTCTTTCCTGTTAGTAGCAGAGTTGATAGCTGCAAACCGCTGGGCGTTTCTTTTGAGAAGTCCATGAAGGAAATGCAAATACATTAAAAGCAGTGTGTTAGGCCGGCGTTGGTGGCGCACGCCTTTAATCCCAGCACTCGGGAGGCAGAGGCAGGCGGATCTCTGTGAGTTCGAGGCCGGGCTGGACCGATAGCCTCGGAAACAATACAGAGAAACCCTGTCTCGGAAAAACCAAAAAAAAAAAAAAAAAGCAGTGTGTTAGTGACAGATTTGTAGGGGCTCTACGACCAGCCTCTGGGTCGCATTGCTGTTCAAGGAAGACACGCACAGATGTGTGATCTGGACGGGGGTGGGGGGTGGGATGGGGGGTGGGGGTGGTGGCCAGCAGCATTGAAGCTGTCTCCCTACTGTCTTTAAGGAGAGCGTCCCGGTATCCAGCTACCAGCAGGCAGGAATTCCTGCAGACCTGAAGAGGAAGATTGCACATCTGGGGATCAACATGCTTTTGAAGATGGTGAGCTTGGGGCCCCGGATGTTGAGGTCCAGCACATGGAAGTGCTGGGACCCATCTGGGTGCTGAGGCTCAGTTCCTAAGCCGAATGCTTGGGAGAAAGTGCCGAGGGCTCAGCCGGGCACCGGCTGGGAGGGGCAGCCAAGCGGAGTGCTGCAGGCTGAGCTCCTGAGTTCAGTGAAGCTCCTCAGGTGCTCCTGTGACACACAGCTTGTGTCCTTGCTCTGTGTCCTTGCCTGCTGTGTGCTGTGGAAAGAGCAGTAAGCCACGGTTCGGACCAACAGCAGGTATGATGTGTTAGGTACTCCTCGCTCGCTCGTTCATTCATTCATTCATTCATTCATTCATTCATTCATTCAGTATTTATGGAGTACCTGCTGTATGCCAAGTGCTGAGTTGAGTATTAGACGTAATTGAAAACAGATCTGACCACAGTGTGACTGGGTGAACCAGCTTGGAAGAATCTTGTCACGTTGGGAGCCCGTGCCCAACGATTAGCTTGCAGGGACTTTTTCAGGATCCAGTGCTTTACCCAGGAAGTGGCTCCATTTTGTCTGGGATGGGGACACTGTGTCACCAGGGTGAAGACCAATGGTGAGACTGGTCTAGACACAGCAGCCTGTGATGAGGATGCGTCGCAGTGGGAGGTGTGAAGACACACTGTGCGGGACTCTCAGATGTGAAGACACACTGTGCGGGACTCTCAGATGTGAAGACACACTGTGCGGGACTCTCAGATGTGAAGACACACTGTGCGGGACTCTCAGATGTGAAGACACACTGTGCGGGACTCTCAGATGTGAAGACACACTGTGCGGGACTCTCAGATGTGAAGACACACTGTGCGGGACTCTCAGATGTGAAGGCACACTGTGCGGGACTCTCAGAGTCAGGACTTGTGGGCAAGGGGATCATCTGAGTTCTCTTCCCTTAAAACTGTTTCCTACTTCTTTATTGCAATATTTGCTGAAGTACACACACGCATGCACGACTCAAGAGCACACACACACACACACACACACAAGTCCAGGTGACTCTATAATAAACACACACGCACACACACAAGTCCAGGCTGACCTCACACTCAGATTAGTCCTCCTGCCTCAACTATTTAAGTACTACTAGGATTACAGGTCATCGTGCCTGACAAGTATACAGGTCTTTTTTTTTTTTTATGTGCATTGATGTTTTGCCTGCACATATGTCTGTGTGAGGATGCCAGATCTGCTGGAACTGGAGGTACAGACAGCTGTGAGCTGCCATGTGGGTGCTGGGAATTGAACTAGGGATCTCTGGAAGAGGAGCTAGTGCTCTTAACCTCTGAGCCATCTCTCCAGCCCCAAGTATCCAGGTCTTAAATGTATTTTTAAATTTGTATCTTTTTAATACATTAAAAACTTTTAAGTTTTAAAAGTTTGCCTGGTACCAAGAAAGCCAGAAAAGGGCATTAAATAACTTGGAACTGGAGTTACAGACGGTTGTGAACTGCCAGCTGGTGCTGGGAATCCAACCCAGGTCCTTTGGAAGAACAGCAGGTGCTCTTTTTATTTTTTTTGAGACAGGGTTTCTGACTCACAGAAATCCTCCTGCCTCTGCCTCCAAGCGCTGGGATTTCCTGAACAGCCTCCAAAGCAATACAGAGAAACCCTGTCTCGAAAAAAAAAAAATTAAGACCCAAACCAGACGGAAACCAAACCAAACCTTTGGCTTGGCCAAATTCTTGTTTGAGAGCATCTAGCGGCAAGGGCTTTGAGGGGTGCCCACCCCTTGGCTTGTCACTGGCAGCCTGCTGCCCCCTAAGACTTCCTGCAGGTACCCAGGGGTGCTGGTGTGGGAGTTGGCACAGACCTGACCGGTGCAGCTCTCTTCCAGATATTCGTGGATAACTTTGTGCACGGAGACCTTCACCCTGGGAACATCCTGGTCCAAGGTGCTGACGGATCGTCCCCAGGCCTGGAGATTGAGCAGCAGCAGCAGCAGCAGCAGGTGAACGTCAGTGACGCACTGGTGGCCTCCGTGGTGCCTGCCCTGTGCCCGCTGCGCCTGGTGCTGTTGGATGCTGGCATTGTGGCAGAGTTGCAGGCTTCAGACCTGAGGAATTTCCGGGCAGTGTTCCTGGCTGTAGCGCTGGGGCAGGTGAGGCTCACTCACTGGGGTTGGCCCTTGAGGCTTCGGGGAAAGGCCGAGGTGGGTTGCCGGGGTGCTGTGGGTGCGGGTGGAGCCTGCGTGGGCGCTGACAGTGTGCTGGGTCTCAGGCTCAGCGGCTTAAGGTCGGCACCCTCAGCAGGGAAGGCACTCTGCTCGCCTGCGTAGCCTCTTATTCTGTCAGCAAATTTGTTGGCACGGTGGTGACAAGAAGCTAGCTTTAAAAAAAAATCAATTATTTTTGTGTGTGGTGCGTGTATGTGTGTGTGTGTGTGTGTGTGTATGTGTGTGTGTGTGTGATGGAGGTGAGCATGAGACACGGTGTGCGTGGGGGGATGGGCAGAGGACACTCTCAGGACTTTGGGCAGCTCTGTCCTCCAGCCCTGCTTTCCAGGGACTGAACCCGGGTCCTCAGGCTTGTGTGGCAAGCGCCCCTTAGCCACTGAGCCGCCTCACTGGCTGTGCTAGCTTTTTGATCAAGCAGTGGCTGTCTTCCATCTGCGTTCTTCGCTGCAAAGGGCCAACTAAAGCCTGAAGCCATTGCAAGGTGCCTCCTGCTTAAACGCTAAACGCTGGGATGCAGTGTGGGCGGGGCCGTCTTCCTCCGTGCAGATTGGTGTGTGGGACAGAGGTCACTGTGGGCGGTGACACCAGGGAAGGACTGGATGTCCTGGGAGACTGTGGGTACTTTGGTTGGAGTGGGCTTGTGGATCAGGGAGAAGGCTTCGTCCTGGGAACCAGGACAGCTCAGCCCCTCCAGCCTAGCTTACTGGTCTGTGAGGTACTTAAGCATCAGGACTCCCGCCTTTTCCTGACTGGAAGCACCCCGTGTGGCCCAGCAGGGAGAAAGAGGCTGCTTGCATCATTGTCTTGACTGGGCTAGTAGGGCAGGGCTGCTGGCTAGCAGAAGTCTTCACATCTTTGGCTAGCTGGCGGGCCTCGTGGATAGTAGCTGCTGAAAAGATTGGGGACACAAAACTGGGTGGTAGAAAAACCAAGTAGAACTGAGACACAGCCGGGTGTTGATGGCGCACGCCTTTAATCCCAGCACTCGGGAGGCAGAGGCAGGCGGATCTCTGTGAGTTCGAGGCCAGCCTGGTCTACAAGAGGGAGTTCCAGGACAGCCTCCAAAACAATACAGAGAAACCCTGTCTCGAAAAAAACAAAACAAAACAAAACAACAACAACAAAAAAAAACTGAGAGCCGAGATTGTTCACCAAGCCACTTTTTTTGTATAACTCCCAGGGCCACAAAGTGGCTGAGCTCATCCTGCATCATGCCCGGGCCAACGAGTGCACGGATGTGGAAAGGTTCAAGGCTGAGATGGCTACGTTGGTGACCCAAGCCAGGAAGAACACCCTCACCCTGGAAAAGGTAGGCGGGCATCGCGGGCACCGGCAGAGCCTTGCGTAACTAACTGAGCGGCCTCTGTGTGGGAAGCTTGCAAAGAGCAGGCGTTTTGGGGGTGGTGTTGAGACGGATTTTTTTGTATGTAGTCCTGGCTGTCCTGGAACTCGCTCTGTAGACCAGGCTAGCCTGGAACTCAGAGATCCGCCTGCCTCTGCCTCCCGAGCGCTGGGATTAAAGGTGTGCGCCACCTCCCGGCAGGAGGTAGAGTTGTTAAGTCTGGTATTAAAAAAAAAAAAAAAACCCAAAAACTTGTTCTCACACCTTCCAAGAAGCTCAAGGGGCTGAAATCGCAGGCCCGTTGCTGGCAGCACCCTGCTTGATCCAGGGACTGGCTGTTATGGAGACACCGGAACACGCAGGGGGAGGCAGCAAGCCAGAGATGTGCCGTGTACCTGTGTCCCTTGCTTGGCCTGACCCAGAGTCATGGTGCACGCCCACCCTGTTAAGTCACCTGCCTTGTCAAGCTGATGGCCTGCGTTAGCAGGACTGGCCGTGCAGAGCGGCCACCAGCGATGCCGACTGGGTTAGTGCAGACGGTCACTAACCGCAGGCACACATGCCGGAACTGTGCTCACGCTAAGCACATGCACACATGCTGGAACTGTGCTCACACTAACCGCACACACACACACATGCCGGAACTGTGTTCACACTAACCGCATGTACACACACACATGCCGGAACTATGCTCACACTAACCGCATGCACACACATGCCGGAACTGAGCTCACACTAACCGCATGTACACACACACACACACATGCTGGACCTGTGCCCACACTAACCGCATGCACACACACATGCCAGAACTGTGCCCACACTAACCGCATGCACACACACATGCCGGAACTGTGCTCACGCTAACCGCATGCACACACATGCCAGAACTGTGCCCACACTAACTGCATGTACACACACATGCCGGAACTGTGCCCACGCTAACCGCATGCACACACACACACACACACACATGCCAGAACTGTGCCCACACTAACCGCATGCACACACACATGCCAGAACTGTGCCCACACTAACCGCATGCACACACACACATGCCAGAACTGTGCCCACACTAACCGCATGCACACACACACACATGCCAGAACTGTGCCCACACTAACCGCATGCACACACACATGCCGGAACTGTGCTCACGCTAACCGCATGCACACACACACACATGCCGGAACTGCGCTCACACTAACCGCATGCACACACACACACATGCCGGAACTGTGCCCACACTAACCGCATGTACACACACACATGCCAGAACTGTGCCCACACTAACCGCATGCACACACACATGCCGGAACTGTGCTCACGCTAACCGCATGCACACACACACACATGCCGGAACTGCGCTCACACTAACCGCATGCACACACACACACATGCCGGAACTGTGCCCACACTAACCGCATGTACACACACACATGCCGGAACTGTGCCCACACTAACCGCATGCACACACACATGCTGGAACTGTGCTCACGCTAACTGCATGCACACACACACACATGCCGGAACTGTGCCCACACTAACCGCATGTACACACACACATGCTGGAAACGGTGCTTACACTAACCGCATGCACACACACAGGCCAGAACTGGTGTCCACACCAGGCAGGCCTCTGTCTCTGCTATTGAGCTACGCCTCGTCTGTTTACTTGGTGACTTTCTGAGTGTCGCAAGGGATGGGGAGAAGGATGGATTGGGCGTGGTTCTGAGGCTTCTTCTGTAGGCGTTTGTGAAGTGTGTGGGAGTGAGCCCTGTGTTGGTACCGAGTCCTTTTGTTGTTGTTGAGTAGTCCCCTGTTAGTGTGTGCACACTTCTGAGCGTGAGAAGGGGGGGTGGGGAAGTGGGAAGGACAGGACCCTGAAGGGGAAGAGATGCTTTCGGGGTTCTACTGGGTTCTTTTGTTTTCCAGCTTCACGTTTCCAGCCTCCTCTCCAGTGTTTTTAAGCTACTGATGATCCACAAGGTGAGATGTCACTAGAGAGAAGTCTTGGGAAGAGGCGGGGCGGGCACAGGGCAGAGGACTGGGTGGACCCGCTTTCCCCCAGCTTCTCCTACACGTTGAGTATGGGTTTCTAATCTTGTGAAGCAGGCCCAGCGGGCTCGTGGGCCCTCGAGAACAAAGTCTGTGGGTCTGCCAGTCCATGTAGGCAGTGGAGGTGCTGTGATCCTTACATGACGAAAAATGTCTTCATAGACAGAGAGGGTCCAGCAGATAATCCTTCCCTTCCGCTCCCTGGCTTGTGTTAATAGTGCTCAGGCAAGGTGCCACCAGAAGCCCCAGTGCACCCTCCTGACCGCAGCACACGGGAGGCATACGGGTCGGCGACGCGGTTGTGAGGATGCTCAGCTGAATCCCCAGGTCTGAGGAGAACTGCTGTCTTGTGTTCCAGGTGAAGCTTGAGAGCAACTTTGCCTCCATTGTGTTCGCCATCATGGTGCTGGAGGGGCTCGGCCGCTCGCTGGACCCCACGCTGGACGTCCTGGAGGCAGCAAAGCCCTTTCTTCTCAGAGGAGGGGGGTCCCTGTGACTGTGGCGGGGGACACACAGTGAAGGCAGGCCCCGGCGTCTGCCCTTTGGCAGCGGAGACATCTAAAATTGGCATGTGTGGCAGAAGCACCAGTAATTACCCGGTGACCTGCAGGACCTGTTGAAAAAACTTTGGGTTAGGGTATAAAGCGAGGGAGGCTGAAGCTGGTGCCAGAGAAGCCATTTCAGGAAAAACACCCTGCAGAAGAAGACAAAATACATTGACTTATTTTGTTTTTCTGTTTTCCTCCCCCTTTAAAAAAAAGTGTGGTGTGTGTGTGTGTGGTGTGGTGTGTGTGTGGTGTGTATGTAAGTGTGTGGTATGTGGTGTGTGTGTGTGTGGTGTGTGGTGTGTGTGTGTGGTGTGTATGTATGTGTGTGGTGTGGTGTGTGTATGTATGTGTGTATGTGTGTGTGGTGTGTGTGTGTGTGTGTGTGTGTGTGTGTGTGTAGAGGCCAGCAGAGGGCACTGAATGGCCCTCTGTAGTTTTAGGCAGTTGTGGGCATGGGTTTTGGGAACTGAACTTGGCACTTTTGGAAGAGAAGCAAAGTGCTCCCAACCACTGAGCTGTCTCTCCAGCTCCTTTTTCTTTCATTTTAACATCACACTTAGTTGTGTAAGAGGGAGGACTGTGGGGGATGGGGGACAGCTCACGTGCCATAGCATCTGTGTGTGTGTGCTCAGATCAGAGCTGTATTTCTAGGATTTCTTGAACTAAGATCAAGCTGGCCTCAAGCATCTTTACCCCACCTATCCTGCTGGTCTGTTTTTCTTAACTCTACTCTCTTTGGCTAGGTGGTTCTTGCTGGTGGGTCCCACCTTTGACATAGGTTAGAAAATGACACAAAATCCTGTAGACCACATCTACAGGTGGTGGTCCATGCCTTTAATCCTAGCACTTGGGAGGCAGAGACAGACAGATAGATCTCTGAGTTTGAGGCCGGCCTGGTCTCGAGAGTGAGTTCAGGACAGCCTGGACTGTACAAAGAAACCCTGTCTCATTCCCCCCACCAAAAAAAAGAAAGAAAATGATGTATACATTTGGAAAAAATAATCACACATAATCACATACACCTTCCACACAACTCATTTTTAAATTTTATATGCCAATAGCAGGAAACTTATGAAGACACAATTTGCAATTTGGGCAAATTTTACTGGTGTTCAAGTTCTTGACAATTTTTAACATTTTCCAATTTCTTCCATAACTTATTTTCCCAAGTTAAAACAAAATAGTGAGGTGGGCAGTGGTGGCACCCATCTTTAATCCCAGTGCTTGGGAGGCAGGGGCAGGCTTGTAAAAGGAGATTTTCTCCATCTATCTAGGTCACACTGGACTGGTTTTCTCTCCACCCACTGGGTCCCACGGCCCATCAATGAAATAACCACTCTGAGACTTAGTATCAGTTACAATGGTTTAGCCAATGGCTTAGGCTTCTTACTGGTTAGCTCTCTCTTCATTGTTAACCCATTTCTATTAATCTGTGTATCTCCACATGGCCTTCACTTACTGGTGATGCCCTGACCTCTTGACTCCGCAGCTGCTACATGGCGTCTCTCCTTTGCCTTTCTTTTCCCTGCCTCCATTCGGAATTCCTGCCTAGCTAAATCCTGCCTTTCCATTGGCCAAGACACCTTTATTCATCAACCAATAAAAGCAACACATATTTACAGCATACAAAAGGACCTGCCACACATCAGGCAGGTCTCTCTGAGGCCAGTCTGGTCTACAGAGTGAGTTTCAGGGCATCCAAGACTACACAGAGAAACCCTGTCTTGAAAATAACCAAAACCAAAACCCAAACAACAACAAAAAACTCCAAACCAAAAGCAACCCCCTCCAAAAACAAAACAAAACAAAACAAAAAACCAAACCAACAAACCAAAACAGAACAAAAAATAGCGAGGCTGGTGGTATAGCTCAATGGTTGAGGCTTATGTACCATGTACGTGGTTCTAGGTTCAATCCTCAGGAACCCTCACCCCCATAGGAGACTGTGTGTCTGTGAGTGTGGAGGTCAGAGGATAATGTCAGGAATTGATCTTTCTTTTCTTCCCGTGTTCTGAGGAGGACCAAGCCCAGGTCACCAAGCTTGCATGGTCAGCCCATTTCCACAGAGAGCATCCCACGGGCCCTCTGTGGCCTTCTAGAAGTGTAAGCTGTGCTTGCTGGCTCTGTGTTCTTGCCTAGAACTAGACAGCTATGCCGTTTGGGAAGTGAACTTTCCAGAAATGACTGCCTTCTGCCCTTTCCATTCATGGACTCTATCTCTTAATGGTTTGTACATGTTGTGGACTCTATCTCTTAATGGTTTGTACACGTTGTTAGAAGGAGTGGTAGACAGTAGCCCAGAGAAAACCAGGCCATTGTCAGTAAACTAGAAAGTCAACTATCATCCATAGAGAGAATCCTGCAGGCCATTGTCGGTAAACTAGAAAGTCAACTATCATCCATAGAGAGGATCCTGCAGGCCATTGTCTATAAACTAGAAAGTCAACTATCATCCATAGAGAGAATCCTGCAGGCCATTGTCTATAAACTAGAAAGTCAACTATCATCCATAGAGAGAATCCTGCAGGTTCATGGTTCAACCCAAGGCTGTCTTCCTTTAGCAGACACAATTTACCACTCAAAAGCCAGTGTTTGGGAGCCAAGAATTGGTGGTGGGAAGGAGGCAGATTTAGAACATGGAGGTGTTATTTTCTTCAAAACCTCAGCTTTGGGGAGCTCATCCAGAGAGGGGTCTCTGTTTCTTCCCTGTGGGGACCATCCCAGCCAGTCAGCTTCCTGACTGGTTTCTGTGTTTCCACGGAGGTCAGAAGTGGGCATCATCCCTTGGAGCTGGAGTGACCTGAGGTTGTGAGCCATGTGATGCCCAGGGAGAGCAGAACATGCTCTTAAGCACTAAGCCATCTCTCCAGCTCCCCGGGTCGTCTGAACATAGCTTGTCACCTCCTACAGGCTAAACCTCATAGCAGTTTACATGGCTTGGATCGTTTATGCACAGAACTAAAACTAAGGAAGGCACTGATCACCCCTGATGTTATCTGAGGTCCATCAGACGTTCTAAGTTCTTTAAAGCCAGAGAAAGACTATTTATACTTAGTAAAGCCAGTGAGGTAGCTTAGCTGGCTCTGAGAGCAAAAGTGTGTATTGTCAAGCCTACTGGCCTTAGCTCAGTCTCTGGGACCTACATGACAAAGGAGAACCGATTCCTGCAGATTCCCTCTATGTGTGCACCATGGCACATTCTTACTCATACACATAACAGCAGCAACAACAACAATACACACACACACACACACACACACACACACACACACAGAGAGAGAGAGAGAGAGAGAGAGAGAGAGAGAGAGAGAGAGAGAGAGAGAGAGAGAGAGAGAGAGAGAGAGAGAGAGAGAGAGAGAGAGGAGAAATAATGTAAGCTTGGATCCCACAGGGTGAGTGAGAACTCCTGAAAGTTGTCCTCTGACTCCTACATGCATGCCACGGTGCACGTGTACCCCACACATAACAACACACACACACACACACACACACACACAATGAAGTGCTAAATTTTTACCATCACTTTTAATGTTCTCAGAGTAGGTCTGGCTGGGCGGTGGTGGCGCACGCCTTTAATCCCAGCACTCGGGAGGCAGAGGCAGGTGGATCTCTGTGAGTTCCAGGCCAGGCTGGACCGACAGCATCCAAAACAATACAGAGAAACCTTGTCTCGTAAAAACCAAACCAAACCAAACCAAAACAGAGTAGGTCTTGCCTGCTTTCCATCCCATATTTGGAGGCTTGGTGGGAAGAAGTCAGGTTCATTCAGGGTCTTGCAGTTATGAGTTTTGTTAGGATTTAACTCCTAGGACAGGTTTCCTGTTACATACAGGGGCAAAGAGTCCCATATGTTGGCACAGAAGGCAAGTTATTAGTCACATGTGATGCTGTCATGTCACTAAATTCAGGTCTATCCTTGATAATATCTATCCCATACCAGACTCTTTTTTCTTTTTGATTTTTGAAGTCAGGGTTTCTCTGTGTAGCTTTGTAGACCAAACTGGCCTCGAATTCACAGAGATCCGCCTGCCTCTGCCTCCTGAGTGCTGGGATTAAAGGTGTGCCCCATACTTGACTCTTGAATATGGACAGAACACCATAGGGATTCTCCAAAGGGTGAGCTTGGCAGGCTAGGGTTACAACTTAAAACTGCATGTTCTGAAAACAAACCCAAACTATAACGTACCAAGGGAAACCTTGCTGGAAACAATATTCTCAGTATCACCAAAAACAAAACAAATGCCCCACAAAACAAACAAACAAACAAACCCCAAAACAGCCCACTAGCACATATGGAAAGTAACCCTGCAAGGTGGTATCTTTTTGTAAAAAGTGTGCCATGATCTAAACCGGCCTTGCAGACAGTCTAGGGCAGGAAGTGCACCTATTACTCTAACACAGGTGAAGGCTGTGCCTCATCCCAGTGGCGAGAGGTCAACCCCAGTCTGTCATGGTCGGAAAATTCCTAATAGCTGCAAAGCAAGGGCAAAGGGGGTCAGTAGCTGATATCAAGTTCCCAGAATGAAAGGCCTTTGTGTAAACGGAGGCTTTCCAGATGACTAAACGTCTCACAAGGTGGAGGTTTTTGGCATATTGGCCCTTTGTGTGCTAGCCATCTTTTATAGAAAACCGTTCTCACAACCTCAACAACTTGGGGGTGTTAGGAGTAAATCGGAGGGTTGGACAGAGGCGAAGCTGACATGAAAGCAGGCCGAGGGAGGAGGATTATTTTGTTAATAGCAAGTGGAGCCTTCGCTTCTTTTTTTTTTTTTTTTTTGTCTTTTCGAGACAGAGTCTCTCTGTATTGCTTTGGAGGCTGTCCTGGAACTCGCTCTGTAGACCAGGCTGGCCTCAAACTCACAGAGATTCACCTGCCTCTGCCTCCCGAGTGCTGGGATTAAAGGCGCGCGCCATCAACGCCCGGCGGAGCCTTTGCTTCTTGAAGGAAATCTAAAGTGAGAGAACAGGAATGTATGTCTTGTTTTAAGGGGATGAGCTTGAATATTCATGTTTCCCTCCCTCCAAAAGGTTGAAGAGTAAGCGCACCTGCGCGTGTATCTACACATAGCTCGGAAACGAGCTCCTATTTGTGCTGCGGCTTCCTCGGCGAGTGCATTATTACAATATAAGCCAGTTCTCAGGGCTGCTGCCATCTTGGTGGTCGCCGGTCTTCAGTGACCTCC